GGGAAGCTTTCGGGCGGGAAAGAGGATTAAAGGCAAAAACGACATAACTGCATTAAATAAGCCTTTGGGTTAAAGGTCGTCGGTAAGCCGGCATTGCCTGTGGAAGTCGAGCAAGGAAGGTCATTCCACGTCACCCAAGCGGAAAAAGGTCTCCAGACTAAGAATGTTCGTCGGACCCTATTCCCGTCTTGCTTACGGCCACAATGGCTCCTTTAACAGTAATTCCGTTTTTTCGATCACCAACTGAAAATAAATTTGGCAGCAAGATTAACGAGAATTTTTTCTAATAAATTTCGGATTAAGAACATTAAGTGCGAGGCCTTCACTTTTATTCTGCCCTCTTTTGTTATTGTAAGTTCTATCTTAAGGCTCTGTCATCTCTTGACTGGAAGGAGAGAACCGAGAGAGAGGGGGGCGATAGAGTAATACGCTTTATTTTTAAAATATAATTCCAAAACTTTCAGTAAAAACGTCCTCCAATCACCGTGAATAAAAGTAGGTACACAAACCACATAGCCCTTGGGAGATCACAAAAAATGCGCAATAGCCAGACGCTGAAATTTCCCACGTTATGACGCATCTTCCTTGAATGAGTCCCAACATTCAGACAAAATTGGAATTTCTTCAAAACGGTGCTAGCTTTGTGCGCTAATGACGTCATTGTTGTATTTCGAATAAACAAAGAGGGGGTTCGGCTTGTTAATTGCCTTAGAAATTAATTTATGTTCTCGGTACAGTTTGGTACTTTCAAGGTCTATGGACATAGACCCACATTTGTTGTATATACTTGGGCCGAACTCCATCAGCGTAATATGCACATACCACTGACTGACAGACAGTAGTATAAGTTAATGTTGTAATTTACCGTACTGGCAGCACGGATACCAGGTAAAAGCCCAGACACGTGTTTCGTCGGTATTCCGCTACGAGGCATCCCCCAATTTTTCCTGTTTGCTTTTTGGTTGATGTACTGCTTTTGAAAGTTCGGCCCTTTAATTTCCCTCGAAATTAATTTTTGTTCTAAGTATAGAGTAGTATATTCTAGGTTCATAGGCATAGCTGTGTCGAACAGGGACAGAATACCGGTAAAACACGTTTGTGGACTTTTAGCTAGTACCTGTGCTGTCAATATGGTAAAATTACATCAAACAAAGGGGATAGAAATTGGTTTATAATGGATGCAATGGTCCAACTGATGTCTATATAGGGAATTTACATACGAATGAAGAGCAGGAAAAGGGCGTCTCAGTTTCAAAGTCAGCACAAACGATCCGATTGCAACAAGCAATCATTACTCAGAAAGCATTGTCGACAAATAAAGGCAGAATGGTCAAATGCAGGTTGCTTAAGCCTGGCACTTGGATCCTTCTTAACGAAACCGGCAAATAGGTCAAAAATTGCACCTTCAGTCTTCCCCTGTATTTTATTTCCTAATACTTCCTACCGAATGGTTGCTTCCTGCGATTCGATCTTCTGCGAGGATTCCAGAGCGTTATCTTAAAATAGCAGGAAACGTTCTTTTTCCGTTTTGTAAGTAGCCTAGCTCAGTGAATACTATTGCCACTTGAATTGAAGTATTTCCCATCGTAGCCAGCAGAACTCGAGTTGCGAGGACGAACTAGTATAGTTTTACTCTCAATTGCAACTCGACTCAGCTCTAACTGGACGGTCTGCCTCGCCTGATATAACCGGCTGCTGACAGCAAGTAGTCCAGGAATGACAAATTATCGTCTTTAATGTGTGTTCAGCTTTTTAATTTCCTTAGAAATTAATTTTCGTTCGATCTATGCCTGTGGACTTTAAATATAGTAATCTATAACGAGAACAGGAATTAATTTCTAAGGAAACTTAAAAGTTGCACTTTCAAAAGCGCTATATCAACCAGAAAGCAAACAAAGAAAACCGGGGGCCCACTGATGAGTCAGGCCCCTCGCAGCTGTATCAAGCAGCGACAGAATACTAGCGAAACACGTGTCTGGACTTTCAGCTGATACCTGTGCTGCCAGTATGATAAGTTACAACATTAATACTGCGTGTTTTAGCCGTACTCCTCTACACTACGCAAGCAACCCAACATATTCTGATAAAGGCGCGCCCCCTCACCAAGTGTTGCCTTTTTGTTCTAGTGCGAATAGCCATCTTTCAGAAGTAAACATATGCCGCGTGTGGAGGTAGACTCTGTTTGTCGGCAGTTTACATCATGACCATTTTCACCAAAACAGCTTTATTGACACCCAAGACTATGCTGAAACCTTTTCTGAGCGTCTAGGAAGCAGATCAATGACAATTGGACAATCAATAGTCAAGGTAAAAGTCACGTTACTTTCAAGGGCAGCGGTAAGTTATGTAAGCCTTCTTAGCTTGCGGCCTCACTGCCGACACGCAGCAAAATTTATGCAGGAAAAAAACGACGTAACTTTCCGCCTAATGTATTTTTATAGGACTATATATGGCGATAAAAAACAACTCTCGATGATTGAAACCAATTAAACTCACAAAACCAACAATAAAGCAACTTTTTGCGTATCTTTTCATGAATGTAGTAGTTAACGCACACAGTGTTGCCTCTTATACCTGGGAAATATTAAACCAACCAGCCTAGGCTATGAATTTAAACCCAGGATGTTTACATAACCTATTCTTGCCCCTTCTTTTAGGTGGCATAAAATCAGAGGGTCTCTCTGTTTTTGTTTAAAATGTACTCGAAGGGGTCGGGGGTACGGAAAGCATGTCTGGCTTGCCTATTTGTGGTTGTGTGGCTTCCTGATAATAAGGTAGCTTCTAGGTTGTGCGTATAAGATTTTAGCTAGTGAGGAGTTGCAGGGGGGAGGAGGAGGAGGACATCGCCTGGTCTATCCGTTATTCTTCTTGTACTTGTAGCCCTACCGGGGTGACAACCTGGACCTTTTCCAGGCTGCCTATGAGGCACTACAGCGGGAGACGGATGGTCAGCGCATGATCGCAGCGGCACGTCGTCTCTCCCAGGTCTCCGCCCAGATGATAGCCGACGTGAAGACACAGGCTGAGCAGGCTGAGGGCGATCCCGAGAGACAGACCAAACTGTTCGCTGCAGCCAAGCAACTCGCGGATGCCACCACGGACCTCATTAACCACGCCAAGGTTGGTCTAACCTGCTCTCCCTCTATTTGACCTGTTTATGCATTTGTCCACATCACGTCATGTTTAGGACAGTTGTGAGACCCTGTGTCGCGGTTTATGCGGCCTTCCTTGCGTTAGCTTGCCAACTCTTGTACAATATACGGACTGCCTATTGGCAGATTGTGAATATTCTGTGGTCATTCCGCAGTAGATGGTAGGTTTCAGTTAAAATGTTCGTGCTGACTTTTTTACCGAGTCCCGAAAGCTTTCTTCCGAAGGATTTACTCTGCGTTTACACATTAATTTCCGAGGAAATTAGAAAGTGAATTGTAAAAAATAGCTTTAGTGGAATTGTGGTTGACAGGCGACTCTTGGTGATATATCGTCTCGAAGGCGCCTTTGTGAGCGGTTCACATAGTTACACACACTGTGAGCGCAACTTTTTGACTCGTTCGCCTATCGCCAGAGTGTATTTTATATTCTTTCCGGTCTACAGGGTGCTCTTACAGTTCTGATTGGTGTTATAATTTCTGTCTGAGACAAGCCCAAGATTTATTTCTTTTACGGGCCACCGAATGGCGATTGCACTGAACCGTAGTGCTAACGCACTATGTTTGTGCCTCCTGGCAGTCTTTAAAGTGTCCAAAGCATGTATTCACGTCAAAATATCTGAATCCGGACGCGGAATTTTGTTGGCTCTCTTGACGGAGCAAGCCCAGCTATGCACGCCGTTATTTTTCTAAGGAAAACATTGATGGAGCACTTATGTGGATCTTCTCTCCACGTTAGAAGGCGCTGTATCAAATGGATAACAAAGGTAATGATGCATTATTCCACAATTTACTTGTTTCACAGTGTTTTAACTTTCTTGCCGCTTCCTCTTAATCTCCTTCCTTGTTTTAACTTTTGAGGTTACAGCAGCTGAATGCCTACGAACTGATGTGCAGCTCATGAGACAGTTTAAAGGAAAAAAACATCATCTGGTCATACCTAGATAGTTGTTACTTTCGTTTGCATTAGTGTTTTGAACCGGCAGCCTTTCGGTCGACTTTCTGCTAATTGAACTACTCTCTATCCTAGTCTTAACTGCACCCTACCCAGAGTACCGCTGACTATCATCAGTTTCAATAGTCGAATTCTTCTGATTTTCGATGAGGATATAATTAAAATGGTGATTTAATCATCGCAACCCCGATTCCGGAATATTAAGTTTCTTTTACTACTCAGCCATTGTTTTTCGTGCCCCCTGAAGAGGCCGTGTGGTTGATGCATTGGACCCACACAGAGGCCGAATCAGAGCATGACAGCAGGTGTGTAAAAAATGCCGAACATGGAGGCGTTGGTGGCATGCGGACGGGCAGAGTTAGGCACCATTTACCCGTGGCCTTTATGGCACTTTCATTCCTTGGGATCGGAGTCAGGAATGGCGGTTCTAGCCCGATCCAGCCTTCTTGACTCTGCCTTCATACTGGGCTTGGCGGGTGAGACTGAGAGAGAGAGAGAGCGCGGTGGATGCAACGCAAGTCTACTCTCACTTGAAACTAATTCAAACGTAAATCACCATCCCTGTACCAGCACGCTGTGGAGGTGTACATCGACGGTTGAATTGTCGTTTAATTCCCTTATTCGCTAGTTTGCATTCTTCTAGGCATAATTGGGCGTGCGGTGGCTATCACAAGTTTTCACTTTTGCCAACACGTTTTGGTTTTCAGCTCTGCTCGACTGCTCCGGACTTAGAGCCGAACCAGACGAAATTGAAACAGTCTGCGGATGAACTCGTTGTCGTCGCCTATGCATCCGCGGCAGAACTCTTGAACGCTCGGGTTATGCGTAGCCTCCAGGCCGCTGCACGAGCCGTCGTGACTGCCTCTACTCATCTTGTCAACACGAGTCGTTGTGCCGCTAAGAAGTCTCGAGCCAACAACTATCACGTAAGTTTTGTACAGCTTTTCTCTATAAAATTGCGACCAGTGCTACATTTAGAAAGCCATCTTATCTTTCTAGTGCTTCCCAATTTTCTGTACTTCTTCACTCTCCACTTTCCCTGACAGATTTACAGCGTAAAAATGGGGCATACTGATTGGATATTAATGCCGGTGTCCTTTATTACTTATTCTGTCAGGTTTCTCCCGCGCAAACTAAATAACTTGCCTGTTGATTAGTGTACCTCGCTTAGCCAAGCTGTTAATAATTGCCTAAGTGATGATCAGTCACGATTAGAGATCAGCAGTCGACTATTCGAGGGTATCGTCTAGATACCTCAACTTATGTACCTTCCTAGCTCTCTTCCTATTTCTGCCTCTTAGTATGGATTTCTTTTGTGAATCCGCAAACATCGGGCGAATAAGAGCCTTTTATAGTACTCAAGTACATCTCGTACCATGCAATTTCTAAATGATTCGGACAGAGCTCAATTTAATTAGAGTTTGTGCATGCCTATTGACGTTTCTGTCTGTGAGCATTGTAACAGAAGCCCTTTATAGTCGGTTAAACGACTAACCGCTCACTGGATTCTGTGGTCTTCATTGCTGCGATGTTCTGACTTTGTTAACATGTTTTATTTGCTATCTTATAGATCCTTGAGGATGCCAAAGTTGTAAACGAACTCACACCGAAGCTCGTTTCCGCTATTCGTTACGTTCGAAGTCGCCCTGACGACCCTCTTGCCCAACTGGAACTCATATGTGCCTGCCAGCAAGTTGTCGAGGTAAGTGCCTCATCTCTGCTTTATACCCGTCCCTCCCTCTCCTCTCTCCCTTCACGCCTAAAGAACCTGCGCAACGAAACTCTAGAAAACTGAAAACTTTGATTTTTGTCAAATAAAGACTGGTTTGGAATTTCTTGGGGGTGGGGATTGTCGTAGTTGGCTGCCGAGGCCTTTGATGACACATCAATACGTACTTTATTAACTTATCACATCAGTATTGCAATCCTACATACATAATCTTTTCCTTTGGAAGGCCCATTCGCTCTTCTAAATTTTCTTAAAAATGGCAAATTATAAAGTTAAATTGATGTAAATTTAAGTAGAGATCGTTCCCCAGTACGATCATCTCTAGCTTACTGGGTATGGCCAGCCAGCATGCCTAATTTCTCCGTACAGATAACAGTGATCTGCAGTCCAAACTTCATGAGCATGGGTTCAGAGTTCCTCGTCAAGTGCATCTACAGTAGTCGCCACAGGCCATGCAATTTCATAACTTTATAAGTTTGATCATTACTCGAATACCAATGTGAATGCATTTAGGAAGAT